CTGGGGTTTAGATGTTATTTTGTAATTATTTTGAATAGGGTTTTTTTCAGTTCTTTTTCTATCAGGCAGTGTTGATAATGTTGTACAGTACACCATGCCTGAGACAGTTTGGATACTCCAGTGATTTGGCAGGAGTCCTTTTTATCCTCATCCCACTCACTCACATTCATCAGGGTTGGTAACTCCATCAGGGTGGTGGCAGGCCCTGGACGGACCCTTTCATGTCACTCAGCAGTGGCAAGGGACAGGAATGCCCTCCTTCATACCTGTTGTTTCCCATACAGACAAGGAAGGGAAATGAGAAAGATGAGAACATACATGTCAGTGTCACGGGACAGCCAGTGCTCTTTCAACACAAACAGCTTTCACTGTCCTCACTGGCAACCTTCAGAGAGCGCATCAATGCCTGTCTTTGTGCTCACAGACACCTTAGTAAGTGAATAGCAAATAACCCAATTCACTGCTTCCTTTTCAGATTGTTCCTGACTTGGGAACCAGGACTCCATAAGCGCTGGCCAAGGATTACGTGACACAAAGGTCAGGGTGACATGTTCCCAACACACTGTTCATCCTCAAGCATCAAACATTTGTTACTCCAGAATTTCCACCTGTCCTCCATGAAGCCTTCCCTGTGGACACCCCACAAATTGCCCTCAGCTGAGAGATGTGTCCTTTAACTGGGGCTAAGACAGGAAATTATTACTGCCTCCAGCTGAGCTATGGCTCAGGCTGCTCTTGGGAGCAGCTGGGGCTTGTCATTCCCTCTCTTTGCATGTTAATAAAATCTTAAAGTCTTTCAGTCTTAAGGCTCACCGAATTCCCAGTCCATTCACACCAGCACTCAGCATGTTAGACACCATCACAGATGTGTGACAGTGAACATGAAAAGCAAGGAAAATTGCCACTGAAGGTAAAATGTAAGTAGAGAAAGTGTTCCATCCCCACTTTAAAGGTGTCAGGCTCCCCATTTGTTTCTGTATTGTTGGTAAAGGCTGACGAATAAGTGTTTGACTGTCACAAGGAGATCTGCAATTGCTTATGTGTACATGGCTTCTACTCTTCAGGAAAAAATCTATATATAGAACAAAAACCTTCAGGAAAAATCTGTACTAGATTTTTTTAGAAGGAAAGCCATGTTAGTCTTGAGTTAAAGAGAAGAAAGATGGGGGTTTAGTTTTAAACTAAATGTTAAACTAATATTATAATAGCGCAGCAGAAAGATAATGATCTCACAGTTCTGTTTCTTCTTTTCTACTTTTACCATTGTCCTTTGAACTGAAGCTCTGGAAACATGCACAGCAGGGAAAAGTAGCTCCAGTATTCAGACCATTTCATTCTTGCTCTTGACTTTTCAAAAATAATTTGGTATTTCACTTTTAATTTCAGAAATGGAAATTTTGAGCTGCAAAATGCTGTCATAGCCAAGAGATCAGTGTTCTTATGTAGCTACCTGAGCAGTGTTGTGCCATTTGCAAAAATGTAACTTTTCTGCAAAAGGTGAGCTCTTACAAAATTCTCAATGATCCCTTTGCCTCCCCAGTTTTCCAGGAAGTTCATAATCAGAATAAGTATATATGGTACCTCTGTCTGAAGCAGTTCTTCCCATTTAGCATCCCAGAATATTTTGTTTTCCTCTAGTAGGCAGAGAATTAATCTGTGTATCCTCATTGTGGTATATTAACCACATACTTAGCTAGCAGTTGTTGCCAAAGATGTGCACGAATGTCCAAAGGGATTTTTTTTTCCAAAGCTAAGAAATGAAAACCAGTAGCCTAAGAGCCAGATTGGAGAATGAGAGGAAGGAAATTGCCAGGCTGTAACAGAACTCACAGGACACTAGATACATAGAATACTTAAAAATAAAAGTTAAAAATATTTCAGTGCATGATGATTATGAATCTCTCCCATTGGGAGAGGTGAGGAAGTTGCATTTTACCCTGAGGAATCTGGGATGTGCACATGGTGGTAAAAGGCATTACATTAAAAGGCATCTTTGGGAGTGTCAGCGAAGCAGAACAATTGAGGGAACATAGTGGGAGGAGGAGATGTACTCCACAACTCAGCTGCTCTTCCCAAATTCACAGATGCTTGAAGCAGAAACATTTAATCTCCTGAGACTGCAACTCATCCATATTAATAGCAAAGCACCTCTGATTCTTACATGATACAGATGCTGTTAGTTTTCAATTAAAAAACTGCATTAAGTGATGATGCTTTAGTTGTGCAGGGATACAATCCAGATAAAGGGGAAGGAAATTTTCCCCTCTGCATGGACAATAGATGTCCTGCTTGGCCACTTCCCTTAATCCCAGCCCTGAAATTACTCACTTGTGAAAGCCTTTTAATTGTGTTTAACCATGCCAGCTTTACCACGTGGAGACATTGGCTGTAACACCAGTAAGCAGTGAGGATCATGACACTAATTTCCATTGTTCTCCAGATATCTGGGAAAAGAAACCCTATGGCTGAAATTAGAGCCATTACCTACCCAATTTCAGGTACTTTTGGAGTCAGGGAAGCCTTGTTCATAGGTCAGGTGAGCCAAGCCATTAAATTGGAATGGCAGCTTTAGTTCCCATGGAATACTGCTGGCCCCCTCACTGCTCCTGTGCCTAGGCTGGTGTTCAGGATGGGAATTTGTGTGCCAAAGAAAAAGGCATTTTTAGCTATTAACTTCATTCCTACAGTGAGTGTCCACTTCTGTGTTATGTTTGTTGCAGGAATGCTGAACAGCTGGAATAGGTGATAAATTGAGTTCCCTTCTAAAAACCATAGGGCTTAAATTATTTCAGATCCATGACAACTGTGACTGCGTAGATCTCATGAAATTCTGGGGTTTTCTTGATAGCTGTTAATTAATTTTTTTCTAGCCACTTTTACCTGGAGAGTATTGACTAATTTTTACATGATCTTTAAAAATGAACTGAGCTGGTGAAGCTCTTGATTTGCTATTACATCTCTGATTAAAAATAAAATAAAAAAAATCTCCTAATAGAAAAGGATTAATGCTTCAGTTATTTTCTTCTTTTCTTCTCCTTAAGTTACTCAGGAGGACTTTTTCTCTCTATCTTTTCCATTTGGTTCCTGGCAGGGAATCTCTGAAGATTCCCACACCTCTGGAAACAATATTTTATGTACTAAAGTTGAAAGAGGATAACATGTTCTGCCAAATAACTAGTACAAACTTCTGACCTTTGGAAGAATAATAGACCTGGTATTTGGAAATCTTACATTTACAACAGAAGTTCAAAGAGAAGGGGAAAAAAATAAAGAAAATGAGTTTTGATAGATATTATGAGACTGAAACCTGTGTCTTTCCCGTCAGTTTGGGGAGCATCTCATATTCTGTGTGCTGTGCATGAGGTGTAATGACTGTGATGTTAAGAGTGGCTTTTCTTCAGATCCTGGCTGTCCATCCCATGGTTGTTGTGCCTCAACAGTCGACACTGGAGGAAATGTCGTATTTCCTCTAATTTTTTTTGGTTTTGGAGAAAACAGTAGAAATATTATAGAACAGAGAGGAAGGGACAATCAAGTCCTTGAGCACAACAAAGGTAATTGTGCCATAAAGGGCAAGTGGTAAAGAGAACGGGAAGGGGTAGCTGGAGAAAGGGCAGGAACAAAAACACTCTTGGTTATTAGGAAGGAAAGAGGAAAAAGCAAAAGGGCAAACACAAGTTGTATGCCTGCAAAGCTTTGATCTCATGAATTCACAGAATCGGACTTGTAAGAGGAAGGAAAATCTTGCGATGTGTGTTTGGTATGTGGCTGCTTCCTGTTGTCCCCGGGCGGCCGTCAGGACCAGCAGTGCAGGGCTTGGGAGAAGTCTGAAAACCCCACGGGACCCCCGGGCTGCGGTAGCGCTTTCCTTGCCAATGTGTTCCTTATTTGTATTTAATGCCCGGCTCTGTGTCCGGCGGGGCAGCGGGACCGAGCCCGGCCGGGCTCTGCCGTCCTCGCTGGGCACGGCAAGGATGGGGCCGCTCCTCCTGAAGCGACCTAAGGCAAAGGTCGGAGAAGCTCAGGAGTCAGGAGAATCAGCATTCTATGAGCTGCAGCGTGAGGGGACGGGGGAACGCAGGCAAGCTGCGGGGGAGCGGTGCCGTGACACCATGCCTGCTGCTACGCCTGCTCAAGGGCACTCTGCTCCCGTGGGCGCTCTCTCCAGAGTGCTCACGGGCACTGTGCTCCCAGAACAGCCTTTCTTTCGGCTGTACCGCTGAGGAGCACGCCTCACGCCGCTGCCCGGGCAGCACAAAGCAGCTCGCACCACACACCCGCTGAGGGCCCGGCACGACCGCACCGCGCATGCGCCCGGCCCCTCCCCGCCCTGGCGAGCCTGCGCCGCCCGCCGGCCCCGCCCCCCGCACTCCGCGGAGCGTGGGGGCGGAGCTCGCCGCAGCCCCGCTCCTCCCTCTTCTTGCTGAATCTCTGGGTTAAAGCGCCCGCTCTCGCGCTTTTCTGTACCGGGGGATGCACGGCGTGTGAGCGGGGCGGGGGGTCCGGGCGGGGGCGGCGACTCCCGGCGTGTTCAGGGGAGACGCGGGCTCGTACCCGGCCGCGGGGTTTCTCTCCGGACCCTCTGGCGCCGCGCCGCGGAACAACTCGCCCGTCCGCATCGCTTTGTGCGGGCCCGGAGGGCGGGGGCCGGGCGCGCGGGGAGTCCCGCTCGGGCCGGTAACTTCGCGCACGGAGCGCTCGCGCCGCGATGGGGAGCGGCGCCGGCCGCCCCGGGAACGCCGGCAGCGCCCGCCAGCCGCTGCCGAGGCGCCGCGGGGCGGGGGCGCCGCGCCGGAGGATGAGCGCCCCGGTGGAGCCCAGGATCAAACAGGCGCTGCGGAAAAAGCCCGCCGAGCGCACTCCCGAGGTAAGGCGGCTCCGGCTCCTTCCCAGCGCCTCCTTTTATTTACTTGCTCGCTTTTCCTTTGCGTAAATCCGTGTTCCGACAGCGCGGGGTCCGCGGTGCGCACTCGGACCGGGCTGGCGCACAAACTTGTGTCTGGAGCTCGGTTATTTATTTATTTCTCTCCAAAGTTGGCCCTCTCGGGACCAGCGTGGGTTTAAACGCCCAGTAACACGCTGGGTACAAGCACAGGGCGCTTCATGAAGTACTTCGGGCCAGCTGTAGGAAGAAGAACAACAAGAAGTAGTACACCGAAAAGTAAAATGATGCATATTTGAGTGATGCAAAACTTATGGGAAAAGTTTAGGGAGCTGAAAGGCTTTGCTTACCTGTACAGTGATGCAGATTTAAACAAAACCAAACTAATTATGCTGCCCAGACTTCATAAAGATGCTTCTGCAGTGAGTGGGAGTACAGAAATGTGTGAGGCTGGTAAGCTACAATAAGACGCATTTTCCAATTAACTGCCTTCTCTGTCCCTTCCCCACAAGCTACTCTGTAATCTGCCGTGTATTTTTGGGGATGGTAATATTATGGAGCATTAACTTAATAATGAAATAGGTTTGATATCATTTGCATTTGTAGAAGGTCTGGTTGGAGTTTGTTTGCTTACTTACCCTTTGCCTTCCTTCATTCGTTTCCCTTGCTGTGATGATTTTTTTTTTATGTGCTCAAGAATTAGTGCTATGAAGTGATACACTCTTGAGTTTTTCCCTTGGAGACTGGGAAACATCTGTTCTCCCTTGGTACTTCATGGAGAGCAGAATGTCCTGCCTGGTCTTCCTTATAAGTTAATTATGGAAGGGCTACTTAGAGAGCTGCTCAGAGGCTGCTCCGGAGCTCATCCTAGCAGGACAGAGTCCCTACTTCCCTTTCAAGTCGGCTGAGTGAGTGAAATACAGATGTTCAGTCCCCATGGTTACTTGCTTTGGGATATCTGGTACATTCCTCCTGTGTCTCTAAATTAATGATGAGGCAGTCTCAGTGTCCGTTCTTTTTTCCTTACTTTTAGCCCTCCCCTCTTGCTTCAGAGCTTTCTTTCTCTTCAGCTGGAGTCTTCAGTTAGCAAAATTCCTTTGCTAGTGTGGCTTGCAGTGTTGGGCAACTGGGTTCATCACAGAAGTGTCATTCAGGAGCTGGCATTCCGCGCTGGCTCGTCATGGCTTGGACTGTGGGGAGCAGGTAATCTGCCTTGGCCCAGAACCCCTGCTCACCACTGCTCCTGCTTGCTGTGCCAACCTCTGTGCCTGTGTAGGGATTTTTGTTCTTTTTTTTTTTTGGGGCATCCCCAATTTTTGCCCCAGCAGCCGTTGTGGGATTCCTTATGGTTGTCACTTGTTTTGGCTAAAACAGCCTTAAAATAATTATTTTGCTTAACCTTGTAGTGTTAAACTGTCAGATATCACAGTGACTGACTGCTTGGGGGTTTGTGTGCATTTGTGTAGGTTTCCATTGAGAGTGACACGAGCGTTGTGTGCAGGTTTGAGTTTGCCAAGGTATCTTAATTGTGGGGAAAAAAATCTAACCTTTGCTATCTAAGTAATAATATTTCTAAAATAATTTTAAAAATCTAAATTCCCTTGTTAGTTTGGCCCTGTTTTGGCAGGCTAATTTTAGAGATGCTGCAGAGTGAGCCTACTTGTGATTAAAGTTAAACATGTACTTAAAACTTGGCAGGATTGGGTCCTTGCTCCCTGTTGCTGAGTAGATAATTACAGTTAAATCACTTTTTTTTTTCTTAGGATACTTTTCTTTACATACATGTAGAAAGAGAAGCTTTTCCCTGGTTTGACAGCAGGGTGTCCCTGGGGGTGCCCAGTCTGGATCTGTGTTACCTGCTCAGGTACAAAGCCTGGAATCCCCTGTCCCAGTCACACTGACAGATTTTCCCAGCATCTGCTCTGGGATGTGAGGACAGATGGATAGGGTGGTGAGTGAACTGGAGAAAACAATTGCAATGTTGTTTATTCACTTATTTATCTCAACATCCTGACTCGTCCTCTTTCCTCTGTAGGCTGCAAGACTTGGGGCAGGGAGCTGAAACCAGTTCAGCGCAGCCATTAGGATCAGACCCAAATTTCGGGTGTCCCTGCACAGGATGAACAATGTGGTGACTCCAGTCTGGAAGTATCCAGCCGTACACAGACTAACGTGTGTGTGGCTTCATTTCTGCCCTCCCACTCTGGTGGGAAGGTATCATCAGTTCCTCCCACACGGAATCAGCTGCACGGGGCTGCTCCTGCCCTTTGACTGTGTTTTTGTGCAGGAACCCCCTCAAATTCCCAGAGCCAGCGTTGGTATTTTGTGATAAAAAAGCTGCTCAACCACAAGAGTTTCAATTGCTTTCAGTCCCTTTCTGCCCCCATCCCTTTTTCTGATCCTGTAGTTTATGTGAGCAATTTACCTGGGTATTTATTACAAATTACAGGGTTGGGGCTGTGCTGATCAGTAGCATGGTCTGGTGCTTCATTCCTGTCATCTGTGCAGCCTCTGGAAAAATACAGATAAACACTCCACAGGCCAGATTTTCCTTACAAGTAGTACAATTATCCATCTGATTTTGATTGTAGGTTTTTTCCTTGACAAAATGTTTTAATTTCTAAGAATTACAAAACTAAGCAGGGGGATATTAAAAATTGTTTATAATTTACTTATTTTGAAATTTACCTCACTGTCTTGCTCAAGTAAATGTTTTAGTTCCTGATACTACAAATATTTTTGTTTGGAAAAATCTGTGTTAGGGCAAGTTTTCAGTGTTGTGGTAACATTCCAATGTTTGCTAATTGTTAAAGTGTATAAGTTATGCATATTAGGCATGTACACACTTGATTTTTTTTTTTTAGTTGTTCTTGCTCAGATACTTTGTGCATCTTTATGAAGATGAACATGTAATCTTCAATTTATTCTGCCTGGGGGGATTATTTTGATGAATTTGTAGCAAAAATTTAATGATGCATACATTTTTCTGTAATTTTATGTATGCATACATATTTTATGTATGTTTTATAAGTAACACAGTGTTGTGTTACTCTGTTTAGAATCTTTTTTGGAACTGTTCAAGGCTTGCAAATATTTTGCTCCCTTTCCTCTCTTTTGATGCATCACTGGAGGTGCATATTGTTCATATGTGATGCAAGTGGCTTCTCATGTGGACAGAGTTCCAGAATGTTTCCTGGTGCACTGATGCCTGTTCATGTAGCAGATGCTGCTCTGGGATTTGGGTGAGTCCCATTTAGTCAAACATCTGCCTTGCTGGTTCCCTGATGGCCTCTGCCCCCGTGCTGGCACTGCAAATAAATCTGTGTACCTGTCTCTCAGGCGTGGCCTGAAAGTGCAGAATTTGTGAGTAATCGCTCAGATTTTAGTTTTGATGATAGGTTATCCTAACAAATCATCCCTTCTGTCTTATCAAAGGGAGGAAACTCTGGTAGTAGTTGAATACTTAAAAAAAAAAAAAATCATACCTATACTTGAACAGTAGGATTTCTTACACTTGTTTAATATTTTAATATATGCATTTTCCTCCCAAGGTTATGCAGATGCCTATGTGGTGGCAAATCTATGAGTGTTTATACATGCACATTCTCCAGTTTGTGCTTGGGAATATGGGATTTACTGTGCAGTGTTTCTTGTCACAGGTGGGGATATTAAATTAGTAATTTGGGAATATTTTAACAGGAGAAAATCTTTAGTTCGAAGCAGTAGAAGGGAAGGATGAATGCTTATGCCGCCATGTGTGTGCTCTCATTAAATATTTAATTTTTTCTGAGGCCTAGAATTCCTTATCAGATCCATACAAAGGCTCTGATGTTGGTCTTTAGGGGAGTTGTTCATGCTGCCACAGATAAGGACTCAGTGGTTGATAGGGCCAAACAGCAAATTATTGTGCTCCTTTTTCTTTGTCTTTCCTTCTCCTTCCCTCCCATGAGCAGGTTCTCTTCCATTTTTGATGGAACCTCTTCCCAATATAGTATCTTTTTAGTTCTTCATGACTTTGTTCTAGACAGTGTTTACTTTCATGGCTCAGAAAGCTTTGCTTTTATTTGACTTCAAAGAATTGGAGTTTATTTTTATACTCTGAGCTCTTGTATTTTCCTAACTTCATCTTTTTGATGATGAAGTTAGTAATTCTTGATTAATGTTAATTCGACTTCATTTGGCAATACTAATTCTTTCTTCTCTTCCTGTTCCCTTTTTATTAATACAGTGCAAAGAGGAAAAAACCTAATTTGCAGAATTGTGTCATGACAGAGTCTGCTATTTGGAGCGTGTATGTGATGCTTCTTGATGGCTTGGATATAGAGAAATAGATCTGTGTGAATGTAAATCATGCACAAATGGTACATTGATAGGCATTATGAAATAGCTGTAATAAATAAAATAAATTATTGTTGACAGCATAACAAAGGCACTCTTGTACTGTAGCACAGCTGAGTCAAACAGAGGAGAACATCTGCTTCTTGTTTCCAGAAATAACTGGTATTTTGAAGTGGGTTTTTTCATCCTTTTAATAATTTTCTGTAAACTCAGTAGGTGAAACAGGATTAACCATTGTAGAAATCTATTGTTTCTAGAATCTGAGGTGAGCTTTTAGGAATGTAACTGTGTCAAAGTGTTGGCTTTGGATAGCCATTGAAAGTAATTAGAATTGTAAAGTCACCACAAAAGTGGGGATGCTTGCAGTCATGGTAAAGCCAAAATAAATTTGCGATCAATGAAGTTGTAGATGCTGGTTTCTGTTTAATAAAAGCACCTTACTGTTAGTATGTATGCCCAAAACAGGGGCAGAGGAGTGATGGACACCTGACTTCTGCCATCATTTTCTACTACTCAACCTCTGTCTTACACTTTCATTCCCAGTTTTTTTGTGATCCGTTTTTCATAGGTGACACTTCGTAAGACTTTGTCATGCAGTTTCCAGTTCTGGAGCTCACACTGAAGACGAGCAGCAGCCGACTGTTGTGAAATCCTTGAGTTTGTTCTGTGTCTGTACTTTGGTGCCTTTGCCAGAGAACCTCCTGAAACCTTGATCAGAGATGCACTGACCAGTGCTACTTGACTTTCATCCCCCACCATGCAGAGTCTCTAGGCTGATCTTGGCCAAGGACTCTGCTGGGAAGCTGGAAAAGACCTTTAAAGTGGAAAAATTAGTTATCACTGGTGATAACCAAAGTGATAGGAACACGTACTGACGTGCCTGCAATTTACTGCTAATGAATTCCTTCCTGGGTCCTTGTGTACCCTGTGCAGATTGCCTTTCTGCCCTCATAGGGCAACAATTACCTTTGACAGTTAGAAAAATGTAAAACCTTGTAATATGAATAATTTATAAGTAGTTCTGTGAAGGCAGCAATTAGAGTTTTACTTATGTTCAGTATGATTGAAAAAATCAAGTGCACAAAAATTGATTAATGGACAGAAATGTTGAGTAACTGCAACTTCAGAGAAAGACTTGGGAGTGCATGCATGTCACTGACACCATATTCCATCAGCATCTTGGTAGGAAAGATCTAGGCTTGTGATGTTTTCTTAAATATTAGATTAGTTTCCTTAAATAAAATGTGTTGTAAAGCTTTTTTATAGCCACCTACTAAAACCAAAGTTCAGAACAGAGGTACATGAGGAGTGGCATGTTGAGTGTCATAGTGCTGGCTGACAGTTCTTAAGATTCAGTCTTATTCACAAGCAGACTGTAGTTTCTGTGTTAATGAAGTTGAAATTCTTATTACTTTTAATGAAACAGTCATGAACCTTCTCCCTTCTTCCTGTGCTTCCCTGCCACATGGCTTTCAGTTGAAGGTAAAACAAAACCACATTTTTTTTTCCCAGCTGCTCATTAAATTTATGTATTTAAGCTCATGGTAAATATAGCATTGAAAATCCTGGTGGATTGTCCAACAAGTCTCAAAGCTTTGGGAAAACAGTGTCCCTTCAGCTGCCAGCTTGATGAGTTGGGAAGTTTTTAGTGCTTAGATTTTTGCTATTTTGTCTTGTGCTTTAGGTGGGTAGTTGTCTCTTATTTTATTTCTTAACATAGTGTAGTATCGTGAGTCTTCATCTCAATTAGACCTGTGGTTTTCCTGTAATTAAAAAAGCCAAGCATGCAAACTCTTGTATTACTTCAGTAAATGCTGCTTGATAATTCATTTTCATAAACTTTGTGTATGTACCTTGTTTTCTGAGGTGATCAAGAGTGATGTTCTTTGACAGACATATTT